AAAAAACCCCGGGTACCGAATTTCGTGCAAATAACTTATTTTTTGCAAGAGTTATTTTCAAAAAGCGAACAAAAAAATTCAATTTCAACACCCCGTATCTCCGAAACGAAGCATTTTCGGACACAAGTTCATATAGACTCAGGAATACGTCACTTGAATATTTTAACGTACTTATGTTACACCCTGTATAATGATACTTTGAAGTTCATTCGATTTTGTCTGTCTTCTGCACCATGTATATCTCAATAATGATAATTATCCAAAAATTGTAGGTATCATTATGAACTGGCAAGTGTGGCCAAGTGATGTGATGGGACATGGCCGATATTCAAATACTTAACATATTCTAGCATCATTTCATTTTAAGATTTTCATTGAACAGTTCACAAGACGTGTTTCGCTGTAAAACAGCTTCCTCAGGCATGATCAAACACACACATAAACATGCCTGAGGAAGCATAGTGGAAATCTCACAATAAAGTGTTATCTGAACGGGGTTATGTTTACAGTTCGATGATGATTCACTTCACTGGCCGTGATTCCAAAACTTACAGTGAAAGATCTTAAAATAATACACATATACGGTAATGGTATAAATAACCGGCGCATTCGCCATAAGTTATGTTGTGTTTAAAATATGTTTTTCCGTTAACCAGCTATCGCACCCCTACGAACGACAACCCTCAGAAGTTGAAATTTGTGCGAGCTAAGGACTAATGAGGTCTAACCTTTTAACGTGTGATTCCTAACACACGTTAGGAGAATCGGTTCATGTATTGTATTCATCGATAAATGTGGCTGTATTTCAATAAAAGACAGAGGCTGTTCAACTGATTGCAGAATAATTGCAGATTTGCCTCTTCTACAGGAAGATATAATTTCATGGGAAATGAAACATAGAATGACTGTATACGGTCAAGTCGAATAGGTAGGGTGAAAATAATACCTCACAAATTCACAACACAACAAAGTTTTTGTTTCGGGGTTGAAATTAGATGATTTTAATGTATTTCCACGTGTTAAAACCGAAAGTGACCATAAAAATTATATATTAGCTCTTGTTTTCAAGATATAGTATCATTATATTATATATATGTATATTGAGTTTTCAACAAATGAAATATTTCATCACCAACAGTTGGTACACATGTTTGTTTACATAACACCCCTCTCATCAGCTGTTCTTAAGTAGTAAACATAACCTATGTGAGTTTGTCAATTGTA